GATTGGCTGATAGGTTGGTCTAGAACCCACCCTCTTACCCAGATGAGCAGCCATTTGTCTATTAATAATCAGATCACATTGTGACATCATGATGTGGGCCAAAAGTTCCATCCCACCTGAACAGGCTGAAATCCCAGGCTTCTTTTTTCAAACAGTTCTTTCACAAAAGTGGCATTATCATCATTTTCACAATTTTAGAGTGTTACCTCATAGTATGGTTATATCATTTTTTTAAAAAAAAAAAGACAAATCTTGTTTTTAACTGCACTGCCCCTTTAAAGTAAACATTGGTATGAACTGATCATACACATCTTGTACTTAAATCTATGTATACAGTATCTCTGTTATGACAGCAACTATCTCCTCCTTAGCAGCTTTTGAAAGTAAGTGAATAACGGTAGAGGCAATCTAATTTGTCTATCCAACTAGCTAAACTGAACTGTCACATGACAATGTAACATCCCTGTCAAGTAAGGTTGTGTTGAGTCATTTCATAAACTGCCGTCAGCTTATGAGAAACTAATCAAATTAAATTAAATTGTATTTGTCACATGCACCGAATACAACAGGTGTAGACCTTACCGTGAAATGCTTACTTACAAGCCCTTAACCAACAATTCAGTTCAAGAAATAGAGTTAAGAAAATATTTACTAAATAAACTAAAGTAAAAAGTAAAATGGGGCCCCTCAGCAGGGTGACTAGCGGGAAGGGTGGGTGACTAGCAGGGTGACTAGCGGGCAGGGTGACTATCAGGGTGACTAGCAGGTTAGTTACAAGACCCTTTTACCTTTAAAATATAACTCTCTAGTCTTTACAAACTAACAGATGTACCACTGTGCAGATATAAGCCATTGCATTTGAGTTTCATCACCTCTTCCACTGAATGGTCTAAGGCCCTCAAACTCAACTCCGGACCTCGAAGCCAGATCCACTGTGTTTTTTCATTGTAGCCTTCTCATCAGAGACTGGTTTAGACCTGAGACACCAGGTGGGTGCAATTAATTATCAGGTAGAACAGAAAACCAGCAGGCTCCGGACCTCGTAGGGTAAGAGTTGAATAGCCCTGGTCTAAGGGCTCAGGCCTATAGGGATGGAAGAGGGCAACCTACTGAAGTTTCTCTGAATGCATTAAAACTATGAATGGTTTGGGAGTGGATCCATTTCCCCTGCTTATCAGGATGTAATGCTAATGAATAAAATCAATCAGCACATAATACATATTACAGGTAGTCCCTAGGACTAGTTGAGCCTGCTTTATGTCTAGATACATATCACAGCCAGTGGCATATTGGAATGGGAACAGTGCCATCTGCAGCCCAAAACTGTAGGTTCGTCGTCTCTCACTAGTCTCTCACTAGATGGCATGTTTGCCAGTCTGCTCCAATCTTTTGTCTACTCCTTGAAGTGAGGCTTCTCAGTAAAGACAATCTAAGTTGACCCTTTATCTATCTCCACCTAATCAGTTATGTTCTAACATAACCATGATCAATACATTGATAGCTCATTTTTTTATTTTGCTGCAATTGTACAGACACTACAGAATATATTTCAGAGAACCATCAGATCAATTTACTGTCAATATAATGTCATAAATCAACTAACAACATTGCCCATGATATTCAGGCACACATTTCAGGGTTCATTATAACATGGGAAGCCTAGTAGGCCTATTTCAAAGATATGGTCACATAAAAATGGGGATGATAATTCTATATATTATTATTTTTCTGTGAACATCACCTCAGAATTAAATGTGTCATGTGCTCAGTCATATATATAAAGCCTATATGTGTTCTAAATGTATGTGCTCAGCTCAGTCATGTGAGAATAAATCAACAATAACCTTTTTTCACTAACTTCCAGAACTTCAAGACCTTTTTTGTTGTAGAAAGAAAATGGACAAAACAATATACAAATCATGCGAGAATACATATTACAAAACCCACGATACACATAAATAAACTAAATAATAGAAAAGGGGGAAAAAAAGAGATGACAGATCACATTTTATCATCAACATTTGCATTATAATATTCTACTATACAGATACTTTTACTGTTACTGTGTAATTTGAGGGAATTTAATAAAGCTAAACATTCACGCACACTATAATTAATTATTTTTATTACATTAAGGCTTGAAATCTGGGGGTCTTCTTTGAAAATGTACATTTATGAAATTACTCATTAGTATTAAGACATTAACAATGAAATCTGACTTCTTAATCTTAGCATTTGGATATTACATTACATTCATAAAAAAGGTAACACAATGACTCAGATTCACTACCACAAAAAGAGCCATTCTCATCCACATCTGTGAACTTCGAAATAAAGGCATTTGTTGGAGATATATATATTAATATGAAATCCCTTCAGAATGATGCCTTTGGCCTTGTTTGGTATACAAAACCTTTAATGTCTTAACCATGCTTTTTTCCAATCTACTGTATGTCCTCAATTAGTGAATCCCAATAAAACGTCCATCTTGGGGCGACTCTCTTATCAATGAAACACCTCTCTTATGTATATATTTCATTTATTTATATTTATTATTACATTTATCGTTTTTATTTCACTTTGACCTGTATTGTTGGAGCTGAGAGCTTACGATTTTCACTGTACCCTGTAATTACACCTGCAACCCTGTACATGTGACTACTAAACTTCTAATCTAAATCTTATTTGTTAGTTACCGCATTTTGGATCATTAATATCCATCCCACCAACGAAACATTTATGATAATCTCAGAATCACACTAAATCCTATATGGTTTCTCATTAATGGGATCAGACACACCAATAGCGTTTGCTGGCGTTTATCCCAAAACCCTATTCTTTCCTCGTTCATGTTCCCCATAGGGATGGCTGAACGAACTATTAGTACATAAAAACACTGTGCCAATTTCTACATATAGTACATCATTAATGAGAGACTGGGTTGAGAGGTAACTCAATTTCAGGTTTTAGGACTGCAAGCAGTATTTGCCTATTTTCATACTGTACTGTCTTTGAAGACACTGTTGCAGAGACGGAAGAGGGAAGCGAGACACCCACTCGCAGTTTTTTCTGGTTCAATGAAAGTAGACCAGACCCAGCTGCTATTGCATTGGTGTCTATTGGAGACCCACCCCGTTAAGTAAACCGGAACTGAACATTTTTTCAATGGTAAACGACCTGAGTGAACTATCTTTGGTTATCCACCATCTTTGACTGGAATGGTGGGTGTTTGCTTCCGGTGTGAATGAGCGAAACGATTGTAGCAGCAGCGCTAACGACGAGGAGCTGTTTAAAGCTAACTAACCAGCGAACACATGATAAGGGCAATGATGCAAATCTGTACAAACTGCCAGTTTCTCTTAACCAACAAATATATATTCACTGTGTCTTTCAAAAGAAGAAAGACCATCATCATCTGAAAACAATATTGATAGCCAACTGTTGTAAACTAGCTTGCTAGCAACCCGCGGTGGTAAGGAAAAAGCATAGATTCTTTAGCGAACGTATACACTACTGCTCAACACGGAAGAGAAGAGGCAAATCTGGGCAGCGTTGATTTAGCTAAGGGAATCGTTTACAAACAATGTAATATAGCTATCACGATAGGTTACCAACTTATTTTAACTCGCTATCTAGCCAAACACGCAGTCTCAATTCTGATAGATGGCGTTGGCTGTTTTATTTTTATGTGGCCTAACTAGCATGCTAATCGAGCGTTCCTGTTTGCAAACTGAAATACTAGTAGCTCGTTTCTGTTCGTAGTGGGGATCATTCATGATGTGATTGCTGCCAAAACTCGTATGTCAGCGATTTGGTTTAATCCAACACATTATAATGCATTGTTTATAAATATTATCTCGAAATTACAAGTTGATGTCTTGTTTTGGAAGCATGACGTTAGTAACTAGCTAGCTAGTTAACATTAGCAATGGTTCGTGCAGATAGCCAACTAGCTATAGCTAACTAGTTGATTATAAGATACAAACGGCCAAGTTTTTTCTGTTGACAAATCAGCTAGCTAAGTAGTTTGCTAATTTATGTCTGCTGGTGAAGTGCATTGGTTGGCCAAATTACGTCTGAATGAAATTGTGATGGCCAGCTAGAATAACATGTAGGCAACTGCTAGCTAGCATTACCTAGCCAGCCAGCTAACTATATGGACAACAGTAACGTTACGTTAGATTGTCTATCAATCACTAACTAGGTGACATGATAGTGGGAGTAGTGTTGACCTTGAAACTATACAGAGGGATTCATGAAAAATAGGATTCCTAGGTAGCTGGCTTATAAACAAGTTAATAGACCTAACTAATAGGTAGCTAGCTGTCTGCATTGGCGGATTCAGATGGATTATGTTAGTAGCTAGCATACATATCTATGGAGTGTCTTTGCAGATGTTTATTCTGATAGTCTCTCAGGATTCACAAAGATTCAGATCTCATGAGGTTGAGCACCCCAAATACATATATGAAGAATTTACACTTGGTCACTGAAGTTGAAACAGTCCAACCCAGTTACAGCTCCATCTGAGTAGAATATGAGCATTATTAAGATTCTCTGTGACATTAGACAGGTGTACTACAGTGTCTCGCTCTGAATGATGTTATCAGAAACTACTTTAAAGTTACTGAAGTGTGACTCGAAATGTGTGAAGAAACCAACCAAAGCAGTTGTGATTTTTCTTCCAAATGAATGTTATTTAGGCAGTGGGTCATCACCAGTGTGCCAAAAAGTCAATCTCCAGATAACAAAGCAAGGATTACTTTTTTGCAAGAACTACACCGCAAAGCAGCCCAGTCCTGAAAAAGAGCATACACGGACTCCCTTGAGATACACTAAGGATTATAAACCAGAAAGTGAAGAGAACTGTCTCGTTAACTTGTCATCCTCAATGGAAGTGCCATTGTAGACACGTGACAGCGTGGCTACAACTGTGCCATTAGGAGCTCCAGCCTTAGAGGAAGCCTTGCAACCCTGGGTTGGCTGCTCTTAGGGGGACGATGGGTTCCCAAGCTCTTCAGATACTGCGGCAGGGGGTGTGGGCTTCACTCACAGGAGGCTGGTACGTGGACCCCCACCAGAGCACGTTCTCCAACTGCTTCCACCTGTACCTCTGGATCTTTCTCCTGGCCGTCCCTTTCCTGCTTTACATGGTGAGGATTCATGGAGGGGACCATTTTGTTATTTCTGTAGATAAAGGGTGGAAGAATTCCTTTTCTCTAGGAATTCTCTTTTAACTGGATCTAAAGTTAGTCAGGCACTTTTTACATGCTGCACTAATAAACGTATACCAGACGGCCACTATTCAGATAAAATGAGAACTGGTTTTATCATAGAACAGAGGAGCAGAACCATGTTGGGAACAGAGTAGGAGATTACCATTTTCCCTTGGTGTTAATTCAATACAGTATTTTCTTCCACACTTGACGTCCTATTGCTTCTCTTTACCTTAATGTTTGAGCTTTTGTTTACACATGTTAGTATTTGCTCTAGTGAAGAGTGCTGCCTGTAAACCAGGCTTGTAATGTCTGTCATCTTTGTGGAGTGGTCCTTCCTTGTCTGTAATATGATGTCCAATATTTCCATGTGCCTGCCTATCTAGGTGAAGCGTTTGTGTTCTGGTTCTTTTACTGGCATTGAGTTAAGGGTGTTGTTTCAGTACCCTTATCATGGGCTAGTCCTACTTTTATTCCTAGCTCTGCTCACTATTTATTCTCCCCTGTGGTCATCCCGTCCAGTCTCTCCCCCCCAGCCTGGTTGTGGCAGCTGTGTACTGTGCTGTGGTGGTGGCCTTCTTCACAGCCATAAAGGCAGTGAACTTCCACCTCCATGCCATGTTCGACCTGGGGGAGATAGTGGAGAAGAGGCAGGCGTCGCTCATAACCGACGTCCCACGGCTACAAGAGGGGGATGATGGGTCAGGAGGCCACGACGGGAACCAGCATTGGTACTGAAGGAGATTTCCATATCCTGATGGAATCATTTCTTGTCAATCTTTGTAAAAAAACAAGATGTTATTCTATGTACATCCGAGTGAAGAGGCTCTTTTGTGTTGATACTTTGAGGGCTGTTATTTCACATGATTGGGGACAGATTTTAGTATTATGTTTTTTCATGCTGGTATGTGTGCTCCCATCTCAGGGACAGTAATGTTGGTGTGGAGATGACTGTGTTCAGAAAGGTCAACTCAACACCTCCAGTTCGCTGCAGCTCCCAGCACACTCTGTTTGGACTCAACCAGGTGTCGGTGAGGACTGCCTTGCATTTACACAGCACACAAACATATTCTCTTAAGCCTTAGCCTACCATTTCCGTGCCTCTGCAGAAATCTAATTAACATAATAATAAAAAATCCCCATCAAAATCGGTCTGTTAAAGCTAGAGATATGTTTTTTGCATGGGCTGTCTCAATCCACCGATATCGCCCTTCAGCATCTGCGGTGAAAGGTGGCAGAGCTAGAGCGGTGTTTGTCAGACCATGAGACATCCCGAAAATCTGTCTTTGAACAGTTTGGCCACTCTATTGAAAGATGAGACTCTCATGAACATGATGGTGTTCTCCGTTTTGCTCTAGAACGCTCACAAGACTGGTCTGAAGTCGGTACAACCTCTTCTGCCAACTTCTGTCTGTAGCGTCCCAACTGTTTGGGCTACATGCGATTTTGCTCTAGGACACTCACAAGACTCGTCTGAAGGTCCCTGGTACCAGTAAAAAAAAAATGAATGGAAGTGTAATGGAGATAATTTAGTGCCTAAATAAGGGAAGGGTTAACTTATTTCCATGCAGCAAACTGCACACTTCATGCAGGAACATTACATTATTGGGTTGTTTAATCGATTGTATTCCCATGCAAATTATTTATATTCCTATGATATTCATTCTTAATCTAACAAATGTTTTGTTTTTTTCCTCAGGAGTTTTTGCCCCAGCTTGATGCCAGTGGAGTCTCCAAGGGTATAGTATATATAATCTAACCCCACTCTAACCTCAGTGTGGTTGGTAAAGCTGTTCTGACTGAGGGATGAGTAGATTTTTGTCCAACATGGTTAGCAGTCTAATTTAGGGACTACTTCTTCTGTTCTCAGATATCAAGGATCTGATGCGAGAGGAAGGCACCAATAACTTGATTGTCACGTCAGCTCGCCGGGAGATCTTCTGCCACAGCTCCCAGGACCCCATCCGTAAGCATATCATTACACTGCAAATAGGCATCTCATCTTTTGTCCATGTTGGTCTTTGCTTTGGCATGTGTGTACTAAGTTTGGTCTTTCACTTACAGATGTTGCCAACATGGACCCGTCCTGCTTGGCTGCTGCTGTAGGGGGAGAGTTCCCTGGTCTAAGGGGAGTGGGAACAGGGATAGCAGGGGGATTTGGTAGCTTACAACCTGGGATGTGCATCTCCATCCCCCCCTCCCCCTCCAGTCAGGAAGACGGAGGAGAGAAAGGCCAGTTGGAGGAGATTGAGGGGATGCTGGAGCAGCTTTCCCAGCATAGTCCTGACGAGACCTACTCCCCCCTGGGCCCCTCTGCTGAGTCAGGGAGCCTGGGGGACGCTCCCATCAGCCCCCTCATAAAGAGCAGTCTGAGTGAGGAGCTGAGTGAGAACCTGCTTGGGCTGGGCCTTGACCCCGTGGCCTTCGCCCCAGGAACAGAGCACCCAGGCAGCCGCAGTGGGGTGGCCATGACTGGCGGCTCCACAGACAGCTGCTTCAGCGGGGGCGGAGCGACCACGGACCGCGAGACCCGCAGCACAGTCAGCAGCTACCGCAGTGAGAAGACTGACTCCACCCGGCTGGAGAGCCCTTCACTCAGCCTGCCACGGAACATAGACTCAGGGACCCCAACCTCTGCCCAAGCCCTGGGCACCAGTACCCTAGAGCCAGCAGAGGAGTCAGTACTGCAGGGGGGCAGTGATACTGACGACCTGTCGGACAGCGAACTACTGCGCTCCCCTGCCAAAGAGCTCTCTCTGGGCCAGGGGCTTGATAAGACACTAGTGGAAGGGGAGGATTTGCCACCTGTCCCCTCAGATATTCAACATCCCCACTCCCTCCAGGACTTGTCTCCCTCCAGTAGTGGGCACTCAGAGGCATGTGATCTGAACAGGACAGTCCCCGTTCCCCCCCTCCCCCCTCCGCGGCAGGCTAGCTCGGTGCCGTCAGGGCTGGCCCTGGGTCTAGTGTCTTCTGAACCTGCTCTTCCTGTTTCCTCTATCCCCTTCCTGCACTCTGAGCAGCCCTCTCTGCAGGCCCAGCAGGTGGTGCGCCCCAAAGACTTGAAGCTGCTGCGGACTGGTGGCAGTAGTGTGGGCCACCGGCCTGGCCGCAGGAAAGCCCCTCGCAAGCGAGGTGGAGCGGGAAGCAGCAGCTTTGACTGTGGCTCCTACAGGAGGCACCACAACCACGGACAGCACAGAGACTACATCCCAGTGCGCAGCCGGCTGGGGGCTAAGACCTACAGCGAGAGCATGTTTGAGGACTCCAGTGACGAGGACGACGGCAGTGACATGAGCGCCGGGTCCAGTCTGGGCTCCCAGAGACACTACAGCTCTGACGATGATGATTCAAGCTCCTCTACCTCCTGCTACTCCCCGACCTAGCTAACGCTGGTGTTACGAACACGCCCCCCTCCTCCACCCAGCTGCCCATCCCCAGGGAAGGAGAGTTGTCTGAGACGTCTGGCCCCACCCTCTCCCAGAGGCCACAGAGGTCAGCCAGCACGGCTAGTGCTAAGACTCATGCCAGAGTGCTCAGTATGGATGGTGCTGGTGGGGGCCACACTAACACTGTGGTCCTGCCCTCCACCATGCTGACCTCCTCCACCCCCGCCCCACGACCCCTCACCATTTCCAAGTCAGACCTGGAGGCCCAGACCAGCCACACAGACGGCTTCCCTGGAACTCACCACCACCACCTGGACTCTCTGGGAGGCTCCTGGGCTGGCAACCAGACGGGCTGGAGGGCTGGGGAACTGGTGGAGGAGGGAGCTGTGGGGGGAGGTGAGACATATTATTCACTCGAACTCTGGCCCTGTATTCATAAAGTGTGCTGATCTAGGGTCAGGTCCCCCCTGTCCATTCATTATAATCTAAAAGGCAAAACTGATTCTAGATTAGCACTCCTACTCTGATAGTCCCATTCAAGATGGAAAGCTCTGAAATGTGAAACTGTAAAATAATTACACTCAAACTTGTATTTTCCTACTAGTACTGGCTTTGCTGATAACTACCTTATTGAGGAAAAATTTACTTACTACGACTGTTACAGTGAGGGAAAAAAGTATTTGATCCCCTGCTGATTTTGAACGTTTGCCCACTGACAAAGAAATTATCAGTCTATAATTTTAATGGCAGGTTTATTTGAACAGTGAGAGACAGAATAACAACAAACGAATCCAGAAAAACGCATGTCAAAAATGTTATGAATTGATTTGCATTTTAATGAGGGAAATAAGTATTTGACCCCTCTGCAAAACATGACTTAGTACTTGGTGGCAAAACCCTTGTTGGCAATCACAGAGGTCAGACGTTTCTTGTAGTTGGCCACCAGGTTTGCACATATCTCAGGAGGGATTTTGTCACACTCCTCTTTGCAGATCTTCTCCCATCTTCTCTTCAGACCCATTTTCAATGCCCTGGCTGAGGGAAGGAGGTTCTCACCCAAGATTTGACGGTACATGGCCCCGTCCATCGTCCCTTTGATGCGGTGAAGTTGTCCTGTCCCCTTAGCAGAAAAACACCCCCAAAGCATTATGTCAAACATGGAGGTGGGAATGGTGTCTTGGGGTCATAGGCAGCATTGCTCCTCCTCCAAACACGGCGAGTTGAGTTGATGCCAGAGCTCCATTTTGGTCTCATCAGACCACAACACTTTCACCCAGTTCTCCTCTGAATCATTCAGATGTTCATTGGCAAACTTCAGACGGCCCTGTATATGTGCTTTCTTGAGCAGGGGGACCTTGCGGGCGCTGCAGGATTTCAGTCCTTCATGGCGTAGTGTGTTACCAATTGTTTTCTTGGTGACTATGGTCCCAGCTGCCTTGAGATCATTGACAAGATCCTCCCGTGTAGTTCTGGGCTGATTCCTCACCGTTCTCATGATCATTGCAACTCCACGACGTGAGATCTTGCATGGAGCCCCAGGCCGAGGGAGATTGACAGTTATTTTGTGTTTCTTCCATTTGGAAATAATCGCACCAACTGTTGTCACCTTCTCACCAAGCTGCTTGGCGATGGTCTTGTAGCCCATTCCAGCCTTGTGTAGGTCTACAATCTTGTCCCTGACATCCTTGGAGAGCTCTTTGGTCTTGGCCATGGTGGAGAGTTTGGAATCTGATTGATTGATTGCTTCTGTGGACAGGTGTCTTTTATGCAGGTAACAAACTGAGATTAGGAGCACTCCCTTTAAGAGTGTGCTCCTAATCTCAGCTCGTTACCTGTATAAAAGACACCTGGGAGCCAGAAATCTTTTTGATTGCGAGGGGGTCAAATACTTATTTCCCTCATTAAAATGCAAATCAATTTATAACATTTTTGACATGCGATTTTCTTGTTTTTGTTGTTGTTATTCTGTCTCTCACTGTTCAAATAAACCTACCATTAAAATTATAGACTGATCATTTCTTTGTCAGTGGGCAAACTTACAAAATCAGCAGGGGATCAAATACTTTTTTCCCTCACTGTATATATGGTTGTCTCACCTAGCTATCTTAAGATGAATGCACTAACTGTATGTCGCTCTGGATAAGAACGCCTGCTAAATGACTAATGTAATTTAAAGATAGATTGTTTGCTGTATTTACTAGATTAATCAGGGCCATGTTGGTATTTCTAGAACTCAACATCTGAAATGTACATCCTGGTACTAATGTGAATATATGCTGCCCTCAGCTCTGGCCCCAGAGGAGGGGGGCAAGCGGGACTCAGTGAGCAGTGTGAAGAGGACCCAGGCCATCCGCAGGAGACACAACGCGGGGAGCAACCCCACACCACCCCCCTCTACCATGGGCTCCCCACCCAGGTTGGTCCAGTGTAACACTTCCACACCATTCGTTCTAGCCATATCCCTTATGCCAATCACCTCCGTATGTCCATGCTACATAAAGCCCATCTCCTGTGTCTTCCTGTAGTCTCCAGGACCTCCAACGTGCCCGTACCTCCTCACATTCGCGGACCCGGACCCTGCCCTCTGCCTTACAGTTTGCCACCTCACTGCTGCTGCCCCGCGGGGGGGTCCACGAGGCCTCTACCTTCGACGACACCACAGAGGGGGCTGTGCACTACTTCTATGACGAGGGTGGTGAGTGTGTGGTGATGTTAGACTGGGGCTAGCTTTAGGGAAGGGACGAGTTGGGGAGGTGATTCTGTCCCAGTTTACACTGTAGTGGATGCTCTCCATTCATTGCTGATGTTTTTTCAGGAGTGAAGAGATCGTACACGTTTGGACCTGCTGGAGGGGGTTTTGAGGACCCAGTGGTGTAAGTGTCTCTCTCTGATGAGCCTTAGGCTCGTTGTTTGAAACTGATATTGATATAATGTCTGAGCCCCACCCTCTTCTTCATGTCTGAGCCCCTCCCTCTTCTTCTCCTCTCAGGGAGCGGGAAAGACAGTCCCAATCCTCCAGCTTCACCTCCACTGATGTCCAGGAGGGGGCCCCGGTGCTCACCGTGCTCCAGCCCAGGCCTGTGGTTTTGCAGGGCATGCAGGTGCGCAGGGTGCCCCTGGAGATGTCAGAGATGCCAGAGGTGAGACACCATTAGAATTAGTTTCAGCAGCGTATCATGTATTTTAGACAAATCAACCCTCTGGACATTTCTTGTATATCCCTGTAAATATGGCTTTTGTTTTTGTAGAATATGCATGATATTTGACTCAAAGTCCCGCCTCTGTCTCTAGTTTGACCTGGACCATGAGTCTCTGCATGAGTCCCAGGAGAACACGCTGATGATCGAAGAGAAGTCCAAGCCAAAACAGTACTACCGTTTCTGGGTGCTGCCAGGCAAGTGGCTGAGGGTGCGCTATGACCGTCTGGCCCTGCTGGCACTGCTGGACAGGTGAGATACAGCAGCTAGCTAGCTAGTTTATCACAGTGGTAATATCACCCAATGAGGCACAGCAGCTAGCTAGTTTATCACAGTGGTAATATCACCCAATGAGGCACAGCAGCTAGCTAGTTTATCACAGTGGTAATATCACCCAATGAGGCACAGCAGCTAGCTAGTTTATCTCAGTGGTAATATCACCCAATGAAGCACAGCAGCTAGCTAGTTTATCACAGTGGTAATATCACCCAATGAGGCACAGCAGCTAGCTAGTTTATCACAGTGGTAATATCACCCAATGTTTGTCATCCGTATTGAGGAGAAAGCCATAGTTCCGTTAGAGGTCTATACTGTGGAGGGACAGTGTTAGGGTTTCAAAACTTGGGAATGTTGGTAAAGTTAATGGAGTTTTGCAACCCTGGACAGTATAAATTACCTCCTACTGTATCTTCCATTGTGTGTCTCCTGTAGGAACCGTGGTGTAGGGGAGAATGTGTTTGCGGTGGCGCTGGCCAGCATGGTGGCTTTCCTGGGGTTCCTGCTGCTCTTGCAGGGTTTCTTCAGGGACATCTGGGTCTTCCAGTTCTGCCTGGTCATCGCCAGCTGTCAGTACTCACTACTAAAGGTACACGATTCAAGTCTTATTCAATTCCTATACCCTTTAAAATATTAATTCAGGTGTCTGGTTGAATTGTTCATCAACTGCCGATCCATTTTAGTTGTTAAAACTGTTATAGACTAAAGTAATGTGTTAAAATGTCTGAACTGACACTCTGGTTTCTCCTTCCTCAGAGTGTTCAACCAGATGCAGCCTCCCCAATGCATGTAGGTACATGTCATCCAAACATCTGTCTTGGTCATTATCAAGTTTGTAACCGTTCCATTGTTGATTCTTGTTTTGCTGACACAACCTGATGACTGTCTGGTCTAACCCATCAGGGCCATAACTGGATCATTGTGTACAGTCGGCCCGTCTACTTCTGCCTGTGCTGTGCTCTCGTCTGGGTGTTTGACCTGGCTGGGCGCTCGGGCAACCTGCAGCCCTTCTCCCTCTACGGTGTCACCTTCTTCTCCACTCACTTCCTGCTCTGTGCCAGGGACGTGCTCATAGGTCAGTCAGAGTTAGACACTTCTAGCTGTGTGCTTTTGCAGATGTATTTTGTCTTGTATTGTGACCAACAGACCCACTCACACACTTTCTCCCTCTCTATCTCTTTCTTCCCCCCAGTGTTCGCCTTGTGTTTCCCCATCATTTTCCTGTTTGGGCTTTTACCTCAGGTCAACACCTTCCTCATGTGTCTTCTGGAGCAGGTCGACATGCACATTTTTGGGGGAACGGGTAAGACGGTTCCATAACATTCACAGTTACGCACAACATACTGTTATTTGTTGAGTGATGCCTGTTGACCTTGTTGTGTGTGGGTCCCTCTCCACAGCCACCACCAGCCCCCTGTCTTCCCTGTACAGCCTCTTACGCAGTGTGTTGGTGACCGTGCTGCTCTATGGATTCTGCCTCGGTGCTATCATTGCTCCCTGGGAACATCCCCATGTGCCAGTACTGTTCTCTGTGTTCTGTGGTCTACTCCTGGCCTGCTCCTACCACCTGAGCCGCCAAAGCAGTGACCCCATCATCCTGTGGTCAGTGTACCTCTGGTTAATGGTCTGTCTGGTTAATGAGAACACACCTCTGCAAAGATGAACATTAACGTGATGATAACCAAGAAATATATACCTAGTGGTACCTTTTAGTACATTAAAGCGCCTTCGGAAAGTATTCAGACCCCTTGACTTTTTCCACATTTTGTTACGTTACAGCCTTGTTCTAAAATTGACTAAATAGTTTTTTTCCCCTCATCAATCTACGCACAATACCCCATAATGACAAAGCGAAACAGGTTTTTAGAAATGTTTGCGAATGCACTGTAGCTAACATTCCCAGATCCTAGCTATCATTTGAACAACTACTCCATCCCCTTTCTCTCAAGTTGAACTTCTCCCTGCATGTGTTTTGCTCTAGGTCTCTGGTCCGCTCCAAGTTCTTTCCTGAGCTGGAGGGTCGGACCCCTGAGGAGCCTCCTCTGGAGATCAAAGACCCCCTGCCTGAGAAACTACGCAACTCTGTGGTAAGATCAAGGATGCATCCCAAATGGCTCCATATTCACTATGTAGTGCACTACTATTGACAAAGGCCCATTTGGGATGCATACCAAGGCCCTGCTCTTGGTTTTCAGAGTTTTTAAAACCATTTCCGTCTCTCTGTGTGTTTTACAGAAAGAGATTTTCCACTCTGACCTGGTCATGTGTCCTCTCATGGCTGTCATCACGTTTGCCATCAGTGCCAGCACTGTCTTCATCGCTCTGCAGGTCAGTCAACACCTGTTCGACCAGAGATGGAAGAAGAGATAGGATGTTTCAATGTATAGAGGGAGTCCTTTTGATTGGTTATGGCACTCTCCAGTGTGAGTGTGTGATCTCTGAGACCACCTGTTCTTCCTCTCCCCTGCAGCCTGCTCTAAGTTACGTCCTGTACATGGTGGCCGGGGTGGTGGGCTTCATCACACACTACCTGCTGCCTCAGCTCCGCAAGCAGCTGCCCTGGTTCTGCCTGGCCCACCCAGTGCTTCGCTCCCGAGAGTACAGCCAGTTTGAGGTCCGCGGTGAGTAGCAACCCACCTCCCTCTAAACTCACTCACTCACATTCACACATCCGTAAGAATTGTGTCAAAGCCTCAGGTTTGTCATTGATTGTTTGCTGTGCCCTGTTCCTCCCAGATGCCGCCCAGCTGATGTGGTTTGAGAAGCTGTATGCGTGGCTGCAGTGTGTGGAGAAGTATTTCATCTACCCGGCGGTGGTGCTCAACTCCCTCACTACAGAGGCCCAGCTTGTCAGCCAGAACCCAATGAAGCTGGACATCTAGTAAGCAACCCAGCTATCCCCTACCAACCTCCCCACCATACATACACCCTCCTCTTCTGAATCTCATCCCATTCCTCTGTCCGTCCAATCAGAGTTCAGTGAGAATATGCTTTGTATTTGCATCATATGTATTTTAATGTCCCCTCCTCTCTCTCCCTTCCCCTCTCTCTCTCTCTCCCCCTTCCCCTCTGTCTCTCTCCCTTCCTCTCTCTCCCTTCCTCTCTCTCTCCCTCTCCCTTCCCTTCTCTCTCTATCTCTCTCCTTCCCCTCTCTCTCTCTTCCTTCCTTCCTCTCTCTCTTCTCTCCTCTCTCTCTCTCTCTCTCTCTCGCTCTCTCTCTTTCTCTTCTCTCTCTCTCTCTTTCTTCCCCTCTCTCTCCCTTCTCTCTCCTCTCCTCTTCCGTCTCTCTCTCTCTCTCTCTCTCTCTTTCTCTCTCTCTCTCTCTCTCTCTTCTCTCTCTCTCTTCTCTTTCTCTTTCTCTTTTTCTCTCTTTCTCGCGCCTTTCTCTTCTGTCTTTTCTCTTCTTTTCTCTTTCTCTCTTTTCTCTCTCTCTTTCTCTCTCTTCTCTCTGCCTCCTCTCTCCCTTCCCCCCTCTCTCTCTGCCCTTCCCCCCTCTCTCTCCTCTCCTCCCCCTCTCTCTCCCCTCTCGTCTCTCCTCCCCCTCTCTCCTCCCTCTCTCTCTCCGTCCCCCCCTCCTCCAGTGGACGTGCTCTGTTCATCTCTCTGGCGGGGATGAAGCTGCTGCGCTCGTCATTCTGCTCCCCGTCTCTGCAGTACGTCACGCTGTGCTTCACCGCCCTCTTCTTCCTCTTCGACTACCCACACTTCTCAGAGACCTTCCTGCTCGACTACTACCTCATGTCGATCCTCTTCAGCAAGGTACCCCCCTAGACCTTAAGTCCTTTCTGGCTATGCAAAAAAGGACTCCATGAGGTGTTTGATTGCTGACATTGGATTGTATGGTTTCTCTTTACAGCTCTGGGACCTGCTCTACAAGCTGCGTTTTGTCCTCACCTACATCGCTCCCTGGCAGATCACCTGGGGCTCCGCCTTCCATGCCTTTGCCCAGCCCTTCGCTGTGCCCCGTATCCCTCTACACTGGCACTGTGATCTGTAGAAAACTCTTTGTTAGAACTTAACAAGGATGTAGTCTTTCTGCACTCCCACTTGCTAATTTGCCAGTGAAACAAAGTGTGTAAGAACACTAAATGCTGTGTCCATTGGCTGCACTGTGTGTTAGTGGTGTCTGTCAGAGCTCCTTAACCCCCTCTGTTCCTCAGACTCAGCCATGCTGTTTGTCCAGGCTGTGTTCTCTGCTCTCTTCTCCACCCCCCTCAACCCTGTCCTGGGCAGTGCTGTGTTCGTCACCTCCTACACCAGGCCTGTCAAGTTCTGGGAGAGAGACTACAAGTGAGCTTCCCTTTTCCAAGAGTCAGGGAGATGTAGAGATGTAGCCTCAAGCAGACCTGGGCATTGTCCCGGACACCAGCAGTTGATGTGCTTTTATTGCAGTTAAGAGGTCAATGTTAACCAGATGAAGGAGATTAACGCTACGTCTAAATCGATCTGTTGCAGTGAAAGCTAGCTGACTGCATTATCCTTTTACACAGCCACCACCTGTCTCATCAGTAGTACACTGTATAGGAGTTGCTAGAGCCTCTGTCAACCAGTTATCATACATGTCTTTCCAGCACCAAGCGGGTTGATCACTCCAACACTCGACTGGCCACCCAGTTGGACCGCAACCCAGGTCAGCTAATACCGCCACAGCCTTCCCTCATCTAACACAAGTCATCATTCTTTAAAAGTACTCTGTTCTCATGCCTGTGGTCTCCTCTCTTCCAGGTGCTGACGACAACAACCTGAACTCTATCTTCTATGAGCACCTGACACGCTCACTGCAGCACAGCCTGTGTGGTGATCTGTTGTTGGGCCGCTGGGGAAACTACACCACGGGAGACTGCTTCATCCTGGCCTCCGACTACCTCAACGCCCTGGTGCACATCATCGAGATCGGCAACGGCCTGGTCACCTTCCAGCTGAGGGGGCTGGAGTTCAGGGGTGAGCATGGAGGGAGGTGGTGAGATGGTTGGAGAGAGGGTGGGGGAGGTGGTGGCAGGGGGAGAGGTTGTGAGAGGGAGGGAGGGAAGGGGTTTGGGATAGAAGGAATTTTTATGGAACTGAGTTCAGTGTGGTAATCTTGAATGGTTTGAACATGAGATAGTGTTCTGGACTTGTCTGTATCCTATTCTCTTTCATTCTGTTGTTCTCTCTCCCTCATCCCCCCTGTCTCTCCCTCATCCCCCCTGTCTCTCTCCCTCATCCCCCCTGTCTCTCTCCCTCATCCCCCCTGTCTCTCTCCCTCATCCCCCTGTCTCTCTCCCTCATCCCCCTGTCTCTCTCCCTCATCCCCTGTCTCTCTCCCTCATCCCCCCGTCTCTCTCCCTCATCCCCCCTGTCTCTCTCCCCTCATCCCCCCTGTCTCTCTCCCTCATCCCCCTGTCTCTCTCCCTCATCCCCCCCTGTCTCTCTCCCTCATCCCCCCTGTCTCTCTCCCTCATCCCCCCTGTCCTCTCTCCCTCATCCCCCCTGTCTCTCTCCTCCCCTCATCCCCCCTGTCTCTCTCCCTCATCCCCCCTGTCTCTCTCCCCCTCATCCCCCCTGTCTCTCTCCCTCATCCCCCCTGTCTCTCTCCCTCATCCCCCTGTCTCTCTCCCTCATCCCCCCTGTCTCTCTCCCTCATCCCCCCTGTCTCTCTCCCTCATCCCCCCCGTCTCTCTCCCTCATCCCCCCCGTCTCTCTCCCTCATCCCCCCCGTCTCTCTCCCAGGTACGTACTGCCAGCAGCGGGAGGTGGAGGCCATCACCGAGGGGGTGGAGGAGGACGAGGGCTGCTGTTGCTGTGAGCCAGGTCACCTGCCCCACATGCTGTCCTTCAACGCAGCGTTCGGCCAGCGCTGGCTGGCCTGGGAGGTGGCCTCCACTAAGTACGTCCTGGAGGGCTACAGCATCAGCGACAACAACGCCGCCTCCATGCTGCAAGTGTTCGACCTGCGCAAGATCCTCATTACCTACTACGTCAAGGTATGATCCACACTGATCTTACAGTTAACTGTAAAATGAGATCCAGTAGCATGTTATTTGAACAGTAGGTGGCCTGGTCTGTAACATGTGTTTCCTCTGCCACAGAGCATCCTCTACTACGTCACTCATTCTCCTAAACTGGAGGAGTGGCTGGCCAATGAGATGGTGCAGGAGGCGCTGCGGCCCTGCCTAGGCCCTGCCTACGTGGACAGTGACCCGACCTTCAACCTGAACATAGACGAAGACTACGACCACAGGGCCTCTGGTGTCACCCCCAGCGCCTTCTGTATGGTCTACCTGGACTGGATCCAGTACTGCAACAGCAGACGGCAGACGGTCAGTGTCCCTTGTCATGTTACTGTTGAATAGGTGACACGTTGTTGATTTGACCATTACTTCCCATATGTCATTAGTGTCATCAGCAGACTGACTTCATGACGTGCTTCATGTGTGTTTTGTGTTGTAGCCGGTGGAGGAGAGCGAGAGGGACTCTCCTCTGGTCACCCTGTGTTTTGGCCTGTGTGTCCTGGGGAGAAGGGCTCTGGGCACAGCCTCCCACAGCATGTCTGCCAGGTAAGACCCAGGGCTAAACCCTCTGTCTGGCTGCTCTCTAACTGAAGGGAGCATTTCTTCCTCTGTGATACTGTATACCAAAGGTGACTGTGTGTTTGTGCCCTGACTGTCAGCTTGGAGCCTTTCCTGTACGGCCTCCACGCCCTCTTCAAGGGGGACTTCCGCATCACCTCTCCCAGGGATGAGTGGGTGTTTGCAGACATGGACCTGCTCAACAGGGTGGTGGCCCCCGGGGTGCGCATGTCCCTCAAACTGCACCAGGTAAGACATACTGGCGTGACTCATTACAAACAGGATAGTATACAGCTTAATGACCTCAATGGTCCTCTGTAGCTCAATTGGTAGAGGATGGCGCTTGTAACGCCAGGGTAGTGGGTTCGATCCCCGGTACCACCCATACGTAAAAATGTATGCGCACATGACTAAGTCGCTTTGGATAAAAGCGTCTGCTAAATGGCATATTATTATTATAATGTAATGACATCACCCACTGTAAGAATTGACTGTATTCAGACAGTATGGTGGACAGATCTGAGACTAAGAAGCTTAATGATGACATCACCCACACTAAGCCCATCGCTCTGCCCCCTCCCTAAAAGGATCACTTCACGTCTCCAGACGAGTACGAGGACCCGGTGGTTCTGTACGACGCCATCACGGCCAACGAAGAGAAGATGGTGATCAGCCACGAGGGCGACCCGGTGTGGCGCAGCGCCATCCTGGCCAACATGCCCTCGCTGCTGGCCCTGCGCCACGTCATGGACGACGGCAGCGACGAGTACAAGATCATCATGCTCAACAAGAGGTTCCTCAGCTTCAGGGTCATCAAGGTCAACCGCAGCTTCTGTAGAGACTCACACAGTCATAACTTGTTAGTGATGTGCACTGAAATGAACAGGGGGACAATGGAGGCATTGCTGTAGCATGATCATAGATCACATTGAGACTGAATGTCATAACATCAGTAGATATTTGTCAGGAATGTTCAAGTGCTCTCTTGTTAACCCTGCTTCTATCTCTAGTTGTGTGTCACCAGTTCTGGGTCAAATCAAATCACATTTTATTTGTCACGTACCGTGAAATGCTTACTTACAAGCCCTTAACCAACAATGCAGTATTAAGAAAATAGAGTTAAGAAAATATTTACAAAATAAGCTAAAGTAATAAAAAAAGTAACACAATAAAATAACAATACCGAGGCTATATACAGGGGGTACCGAGTCAATGTGCGTGGGTACAGGTTAGTCAAGGTAATTCGTCCATGTGAAGTGACTATGCATAGATAATAAACAGCGAGTAGCAGCATTGTAAAAAAATGCAAATAGTCCAGATGGTCGTCAATGCAAATAGTCCGGATGGATTATGACTATGTCATAATATGGATGGATTGATAGTCATTTGATGAATTGTTCAGGTTTTTGGGGTAGAAGCAGTTAAGGAGCCTTTTATACCTAGACTTGGCGCTCCGGTACCGCTTGCCGTGTGGTAGCAGAGGTCACTGGCATATTTGTGACTTATTGTGCTCCTCCACCTGCTGACCCCCACTGTCCTGCCCCCTGCAGGTGAACAGGGAGTGTGTGCGCGGCCTGTGGGCAGGCCAGCAGCAGGAGCTGGTGTTCCTGCGGAACCGGAACCCTGAGCGTGGCAGCATCCAGAACGCCAAGCAGGCCCTGAGAAACATGATCAACTCGTCATGTGACCAGCCCATCGGCTACCCCATCTACGTGTCCCCCCTCACCACCTCCTTCGCAGGGGGGCACACCCAGCTCCGCTCCGTCTGGGGGGGGCCTGTCAGCCCCCATAACATCTACACCTGGCTCATCAGCAGCTGGGATGGGTACACTTACACTACACAGCCTTCAGTAGTCATGCTAGGGCTGACAAACACACACGCATATAGACACACACACACACACATACACACACACACACACACACACACACACATATACACACACACATACAGTGGGGGGAAAAAAGTATTTAGTCAGCCACCAATTGTGCAAGTTCTCCCATTTAAAAAGATGAGAGGCCTGTAATTTTCTTCATAGGTACACGTCAACTATGACAGACAAAATGAGATTTTATTTTCTCCAGAAAATCACATTGTAGGATTTTTAATGAATTTATTTGCAATTTATGGTGGAAAATAAGTATTTGGTCAATAACAAAAGTTTCTCAATACTTTGTTATATACCCTTTGTTGGCAATGACACAGGTCAAACGTTTTCTGTAAGTCTTCACAAGGTTTTCACACACTGTTGCTGGTATTTTGGCCCATTCCTCCATGCAGATCTCCTCTAGAGCAGTGATGTTTTGGGGCAGTCGCTGGGCAACACGGACTTTCAACTCCCTCCAAAGATTTTCTATGGGGTTGAGACTGGCTAGGCCACTCCAGGACCTTGAAATGCTTCTTACGAAGCCACTCCTTCGTTGCCCGGGCAGTGTGTTTGGGATCATTGTCATGCTGAAAGACCCAGCCACGTTTCATCTTCAATGCCCTTGCTGATGGAAGGAGGTTTTCACTCAAAATCTCATGATGCATGGCCCCATTCATTCTTTCCTTTACACGGATCAGTCGTCCTGGTCCCTTTGCAGAAAAACAGCCCCAAAGCATGATGTTTCCACCCCCATGCTTCACAGTAGGTATGGTGTTCTTTGGATGCAACTCAGCATTCTTTGTCCTCCAAACACGACGAGTTGAGTTTTTACCAAAAAGTTATATTTTGGTTTCATCTGACAATATGACATTCTCCCAATCCTCTTCTGGATCATCCAAATGCACTCTAGCAAACTTCAGACGGGCCTGGACATGTACTGGCTTAAGCAGGGGGACACGTCTGGCACTGCAGGATTTGAGTCCCTGGCGGCGTAGTGTGTTACTGATGGTAGGCTTTGTTACTTTGGTCCCAGCTCTCTGCAGGTCATTCACTAGGTCCCCCGTGTGGTTCTGGGATTTTTGCTCACCGTTCTTGTGATCATTTTGACCCCACGGGGTGAGATCTTGCGTGGAGCCCCAGATCGAGGGAGATTATCAGTGGTCTTGTATGTCTTCCATTTCCTAATAATTGCTTCCACAGTTGATTTCTTCAAACCAAGCTGCTTACCTATTGCAGATTCAGTCTTCCCAGCCTGGTGCAGGTCTACAATTTTGTTTCTGGTGTCCTTTGACAGCTCTTTGGTCTTGGCCATAGTGGAGTTTGGAGTGTGATTGTTTGAGGTTGTGGACAGGTGTCTTTTATACTGATAACAAGTTCAAACAGGTGCCATTAATACAGGTAACGAGTGGAGGACAGAGGAGCCTCTTAAAGAAGAAGTTACAGGTCTGTGAGAGCCAGAAATCTTGCTTGTTTGTAGGTGACCAAATACTTATTTTCCACCATAATTTGCAAATAAATTCATAAAAAATCCTACAATGTGATTTTCTGGATTTTATTTTCTCAATTTGTCTGTCATAGTTGACGTGTACCTACGATGAAAATTACAGGCCTCTCTCATCTTTTTAAGTGGGAGAACTTTCACAATTGGTGGCTGACTAAATACTTTTTTCCCCCACTGTATACACACACACACATATACACATACACACACACACACACACACACACACACATATACACACACACAGTCAGGTATTCCTGCAAACTGCACATACGCCATGCACTGCTCTCTCTCTCACTCACTCACTCACACACATACAGTGCATTAGGAAAGTATTCAGACCCCTTGACTTTTTCCAAATTTTGTTACGTTACAGCCTTATTCTAAAATGGATTAAATACATTTTCCCCCTCATCAATCTACACACAATACCCCATAATGACAAAACGAAAACAGGTTTTTAGAAATGTCTGCAAATGTATTACAAATAAAAAACTAAAATACATGATTTACATAAGTATTCAGACCCTTTGCTATGAGTCTAGAAATTGAGCTCAGGTGCATCCTGTTTCCATTTATCATCCTTGAGATGTTTCTACAACTTGATTGGAGTCCACCTGTGGTAAATTCAATTGATTGGGCATGATTTGGAAAGGCATACACCTGTCTATATAAGGTCCCACAGTTGACAGTGCATCTCAGAGTAAAAATCAAGCCATGAGGTCGAAGGAATTGTCCGTAAAGCTCCGAGACAGGACTGTGACGAGGCACAGATCTGGGGAAGGGTACCAAAACATTTCTGCAGCATTGAAGGTCCCCAAGAACACAGTGGGTCGCCATCATTCTTAAATGGAAGAAGTTTGGAACCATCAAGACTCTTCCTAGAGCTGGCCGACTGGCCAAACTTAGCAATCGAGGGAGAAGGGCCTTGGTCAATGAGGTGACCAAGAACCCGATGGTCACTCTGACAGAGCATGGTGGTGGCAGCATCATGCTGTGGGGATGTTTTTCAGCGGCAGGGACTGGGAGACCAGTCAGGATCGAGGGAAAGATGAATGGAGCAAAGTACAGAGAGATCCTTGATGAAAACCTGCTCAGGGCCTCAGACTGGGGTGAAGGTTCACCTTCCAACAGGACAAAGACCCTAAGCACACAGCCAAGACGACACAGGAGTGGCTTCGGGACAAGTCTCTGAATGTCCTTAAGTGGCCCAGCCAGAGCCCGGACTTGAACCTAATCGAACATCTCTGGAGAGACCTGAAAATAGCTGTGCAGTGACACTCCCCATCCAACCTGACAGAGTTTGAGAGTATCTGCAGAGAAGAATGGGAGAATGTCTCCAAATACAGGTGTGCCAAGCTTGTAGCGTCATACCCAAGAAGACTTGAGGATGTAATCGCTGCCAAAGGGGCTTCAACAAAGTACTGAGTAAAGGGTCTGAAAACGTATGTAAATGTAATATTTAAGTTGTGTATGTGTATATATATATATATATATTTGCAACATTTAAAAAACCTGTTTTTGCTTTGTCATTATGGGGTATTGTGTGTAGATTGATGAGGAAAAAAACAACTATTTAATCCATTTTAGAATAAGGCTGTAACGTAACAAAATGTGGAAAAAGTCAAGGGATCTGAATACATTCTGAATGCACCGTACATGCGCAGCCACACACTCACCGTGTGTGATAAGACTGTTCAAATACCTGTGTCTCTCCTGCAGGTTACAGAAGGGTTGTGGAGCTGGGTGTAACAGTGGGGGTAACATCGAGGACTCTGACTGCGGCGGCGGTTCCACCTCCATCTCCAACAACCCATCCGCTCACACCACCCAGAGCACCCCGGCCTCCAGCCTGCCCCTTCCACAGCCCCACTTCACCTCCATCCACCCCCCCATGGGTGAGCCCAGGACCCTACCGCTCAACTACAACCTCTAATGATGTCTGCTGTTCAGCTGCAGCTAGCTATTATAACATCAATACTGTCAGTATGCTGATAACACAGCAATGTTTGTATAATGATTATATTTTGTAATGAAGTGAATTAAATAACTCTCCTTGTCTCCGTAGGAACTGACAACCCTGTGGGCCCGACCCCCACATGGCCCCACCACCCTCAGCCCCTCCCCTTGGCTCTGCTCAGCCAGTCAGAGGGCAGGATGGACGCTGGGCTAGTCACCTCCCTCCACCGGACCTCGTCCATCCAGGGTCTCCTGGGACAGCACCTGTCCAGCTCCCAGCTGTCCTTCAGCAGCTCTGTGGTCATGCCTCCCCTGCCCAGCCCAGGCAGCTTCCTGGACGGAGGGCACAGAGGGTCCGGGCGGGCAGGACTGGGACATGGCCTGGGGCAGGGCAGCGGGCTGCCCTACGAGGGCCTCTACGGGAAGTGGAGCCTGTCAGGCAGGAAGGGCTTCAACGGGCCAACCGCAACTGAGAGCGACGGTGGAGCTTCTCAGTTCATACGGACACAGGTGAGGATGGTGAAACAACGTAACATGTTGTGTGAAGGTAGAACAGACACTGAGTGTACAAAACATGACCAGTTGAATCCAGGTGAAAGCTATGACCCTAATTGATGTCACTTGTTAAATCCACTTCAATCAGTGTAGATGAAGGGGAGGAGACAGGTTAAAGAAGGATTTCTAAGCCTTGAGACAATTTAAGACATGGATTACAAAATATTTAAGTGCCTTTGAAAGGAGTATGGTAGTAGGTGCCAAGCGCACCGGTTTGTGTCAAGAACTGCAACGCTGCTGGGTTTTTCACGCTCAACACTTTCCCATGTGTATCAAGAATGGTCCACCACCCAAAGGACATCCAGCCAACTTGACACAACTGTGGGAAGCATTGGAGTCAACATTGGCCAGCATCCCTGTGAAATGTTTTCAACACCTTAGGAAGGTGTCCTTAATGTTTTGTACACTCAGTATATAGTGTGTGTTGGAAGGTAGAAAATATAGTCTGTGTTGGAAGGTGCAGCATGCTGTCAACAGCGTGACAACAGTCTTTTTGAACACCAGGAGAATAATGTAGCTACAATACATGCCCTCTTACACCAGGATGTTATGGCTTTGAGATTAACTTAATGATGGTCGTATGTTGCGATGGAAACTCAAGAGGTTTCATTAGTTGAGGATATTTACATCTGTGTTTCAGTCTACTCCTCCTGCACTGCCACCTAGGGCCAGCCCAACACAGGACCCCCTGGGGGTCACCCAGTCCACTGAGACCACGCCCCCCAGCCCTGCCCCCAGGGAGGAGTCCACCGAGCTGCCTTTACTTGAGCACCTGGGCTGAGTCTACCCTGGAGAACCCATGAGAACCCCTGAAGCCAAAGCACAGCTCCACCGTGGCCAGTTCTAGAGTGGGCCTGACCGGCTCAGACCGGACCGATTCCAGCTTCCCAGAGTCATTCGAATGCTCTTCTCTCTCTCTCTCTCAATGAGACTGGACTCTGAGGTCTGTTACATCTCTGATGGCAAATCACAACATCTCAACATGTTTTTTGTTTAGTGACATTTTTTCAAGCCTTTGCAATGCTGGATGGATCTTGAGGTCTAAATACGTTCCTCTTCTCCTCAGTGAACCACCACAAGGATGTATGTCAAAACAAAGTGTACGCACCCAGCCCGCATCCCTAACCCATCCCACCATCTCCCCTCCTAGGACTTGAAACAGGAGCTCTAATTGATAGGCCCTCATGAGTTTCTGTAACAATGGTAACCCTAGCAGACCAAAAAGCCAGTGCAATTGTAAGGGAGGTTTTTCCTTATGTAATGTTTAGTTGTTTTTTATTAGTTAGTTTAGTTCATTTGTCCTCTCCTTCACCTGAGACCCACCAGCAACAGCATAATGACTCAGAAAAGGGAACTCCAATATCCTTGTTGCTGTATGTACAGGTGAAGCCAGATTTACTAACATAACATGCCTTGTTCTTTACACCCACTGCCCATCCCTGCTGCTCCAACCTGCTGCTCCAACCTGCTGCTCCAACCTGCTGCACGTTCACTGTGGGGATATCCACTCTGAAACTGCAAGGGTCACATCAAATGACTTGAACATCTATACCATATGACAGGGGTCGGATACAGGCGGAATGATACAAAAATATATATATATATATATCGTTTTTGGTCAAAAGACTGTAAAATCACCAGGAATTCAGCAAAAAATAATAATAATCTCTTCCCAAGAGACATTATCGTGTCTGAATGTAATTTTGAATGAAAGTTATGAAATTATTATTTTCAAATACAATCTCTTTTTGGGCTTAGTTTTGGTCAATTTGCAGTGTACAAATTATTATAATTATTTTCCGCCACCCCTGAACCATTCTCTCCGACAATCAGCCCATGGCTGAATCTAGTTGCCTACCCCTGCCATATGACCAGTCAATATCAACTACCCACCTCCCTAGCATACCACACACATTCCAAAACTAATCCACACCCCTCCACGTAAAAACATCCTCATGCTCATTTGGATATTTATTAGAGGCTCTTGACCGCATCAACAATCTCAAGTGTTCTGACAAAGAGCTTGTTTCAGGGATAAGACTCCCGCCTACCCCCACCTTTCCCAACATTTGGTGCTTTTTCCCAGTCAGGCCTGGATGCAAGTTCTGAATTTGGGGAGGTCTAGGGAGATGTGACTCTGGACAGAGCTGATGGACCAGGACAGAGAGAAGGAAAGAGGAGAGGAGATGCTCTCTAGGCAGGGACATTGTTCAGACCACAGAATTCTAAACTGGGAATGTTCTTTCTAAAGCCTTTATGGTTTTTGTGTCCTATTGTTGGGGTGAGTGGAATGTCTTTTTACTTTACTTGAAGAGTCACAACCTCCTCAGTGGCTAACCGCTCCCTCCCTGACCTGATCCAATCAGCTGTGGACTCTATGCAGTGGGAGGGGCTCAGACAGCTCTGTGTGTGGAATAGCCACCAGCAAGAGGCCCTTCTGCTTTCCTTGGCTCCAGGCAGCTCCTGTACAGCTCCTCTTACTACTCAACTGCAGCACCTCCTGCTACTACTACTATACCTACAGTTGCTGTTTGTGCTACACTTACCTCCAGCGTTTTAGTTGGAAACCAAGTTAAATAAATACTGAAAACAAATATGGCATATTTATTTAGATTTCTTGATAACGTCTGGAAGACTGTTAAAAGGGTTTGTCTATTTGACATGCTGATGTGATATAGAAATGTGGAGATTGGACTCTATCCAGAGCACATATCAGACAAGCTGGCTGTCCAACTCTGTTCTGTCCCGAGAGCTATAGGGTCTTACAGCACTACAGTAATCAACGTGTCTGTCCCCTGGCCAGTTGTGACAAGTCTTCTATATCAATGGTAGAACTATCTGGAATAACCTTGTGCAATGGTGTAAATCTGCTCCTAGATGACTGCCTTGTATGCTCACTTTCGCCCCTAACCATCTTACTTCTCACCTTTTAGTTAGAAGACTGAACTGTCCTACTAAACTTTCCCTAGAAATCTGTCCTTACAGGGTGAATGACAGGTGTTCTCAGGGTCTCCCATTGGGAAAGAATGGAAATTCTCTGCCATTTGCTAATCTTACTGTGTCTATAAGGGGACAGACACAAAAGGGGAGTGTTCTCAAGCGCTAGGTTAGATGGTATCTAGAAAAATTAGACTATGGGTAATTATGCAGTAGCAAAGTTACTTTAGTCTGGATATTGGAAGTCTGAGCCTCATGGTTGAACTCATGGGTCACTACTCAAAGTACCAGTCAAGCAGTGGAGGCTGGTGGGAGGAGCTATAGGAGGACTGGCTCGTTGTAATTGCTGGAATGATGGACGGAGTCAAACGTGGATTCCATGGGTTTGATACCGTTCCATTTATTCCATTCCAGCCATTACAATGAGCCTGTCCTCCTATAGCTCCTCCCACCAGCCTCCTCTGCAGTCAAGGTGATTCCCCCACCACAGAAACAGCAATTAATTCTGCTTGAGCTAAAGCGCTCTTAATTTTCCTAAAACCATTCAGGCTTAGGATGGTTTGGTTACATCTTGAAACATCTTGAGGACTTGGAACAAGCACTGTGCTAATGGAGATCTAGTCTCTTTGTTTGTCAGATCATTGGATCTAACTCCATGGTTGTCATGGATATTGTTGAGGAGGAGCTGGCACCTTCCAGATGTTAACATGTGTCCTCCCTAGCAGCGCCATTCTGATCAGGGCCCTTTTCTGTTTCTCTTTTCTCAGTGTAATATCCAAAGCAACAGGGAGTACTTTTCTTACTGGGAGAAAGGAAAGCACAAGTTACTGGACAGACCTGGGTGTCAATACTAAAAGGGATTTCTTAATCTCTGCCATTTATGTACAGCATGTTTTGTATATAAATATATATTTAAAAAAATATATAAATCTATTTTATTATTAGTGGATTTCTGGTTATTTTTCATGGAAGGCACTATGTTGAGTCTTAGGGGAGGTTCTCTCTTATGTTTACCCCTCAGAAGAGAGATCTGGCTCCTGAGGGGAAGGGTACTCTTCACATTGAATCATGCAGTTTGGGAAGAATCCATTAATACTTATTTTGCACAAATGTTGTATACTAATACACCATCCCACATGTTTTTTTACTGTTATTATTTTAGTCATTTGGAGGGATGTTTTATTTAAACTATCAGTCGGCATTCAAAGTTCTGTACAGTTTTTTTTAAATGTGATTTCCCCCCCTGTTTAAATTAAAGCTTTTTGTGTAATCGTTTGCAAATTAAATGCTGTGAGTGCTTTCATTTACCTTTCCTGAGCCTTTGTCAGGCAATGTTATCATAGTTTGAATATTCATTCCGAACTTAGCATAGAACCGGTCTTGAACAGAAACCCAAACACATTTGATTCCAGTCAGACATTGAACATTTATTTCAAAAGGATGTATTAAACAAATTGTACAGTTATCAGGTATTCTATGCGGGAACTATTTCAATAGCTTCTATGATATTGCCTGCCGCAAAAAAATGGAGTGAAGTGGGAGCCAATGTCTACCTGCAGGGCACAATGAGGTAACCAATGGAATGCTTGTTCATTCTTAATACTTTATAAAACAAATGTTCAGTTCAATTAGTTTTTGTACAATGTCAATGTTTATCTTCCTTAGATTGAGGGATCAAACAAAGGAGCGTTTGATAAGAGTACCTTATCTCGTTATAACACTCTTCCTTCCCCTCGCGCCACTTCCTCTCCTGGCCAGAGCGGTGGAGCCCCAGCAGCAGGTCCAGCAGGTCCAGCAGCGCCAGGACCATGGACAGGGTCAACAACACCCCCCGGAGAATCCCGGGGGAACTGTCTGGAGCTGCAGCGAGAGCACAGTGAGTGAGCGGTACTCAGACTCCAAACACACAGCACACCCAACGCAGTAGTTAGAGTAGCTCTGACGGGTTTAATGAACATAGCAATACCCTTATGAATGTGTATGATTCGATAAGTAGTTGGTAGATAAGAGTGAAGGAGAACTGAAGAGCATGTGGTCCATGCAGGGACTCAGCTGTATATGGACAGGTTGGCGTAACAGTTCTAGGTGCCCAGGAGGTTGGTGACAGAGCAGCGGTACAGACCAGAGTTCCAGGAAGAGATGTTGACTATCTGGACAGAGCCTCATAGGTCCCCTGTCATAGAGAACAACAGAGGTTACGGGATACAAACATCGGTTTGCATTTACGACCGTACAATACTGTTTTGATTCCTAAAATGGAATTAAACACGTGACATCACAATAGTGTGAGTGACACAAACTGTATGTTTCTGATTGCTGTGCTGTAGCTAAAATTACACTTGGACTAACTTGTCCACCAGCCGCAGCGATAGGTGCCAGCGTCTGATATGCGTGTGTTGTTGAGGATGATGTCAGCACTCCAGGGGATGCCTGGGTACCCACCCTGCCTCTCAGGGAGGGGTTCTCAATCACCTGGCCGTGGTCAAACACTATCACCTGAGAGGTAGGACAGACATAGCAGCACCTTTCTGACACGTCAAGCAGCATATTATAACTTTATCAGCATACAGTGCATTTGGAAAGTATTCAGACCCCTTGACTTTTTCCACATTTTGTTACGTTACAGCCTTATTCTAAAATTGATTAAATTGTTGTTGCAAATTTATAAAAAATAAAAAAATGAAACGTCACATTTACATAAGTATTCAGATCCTTTAGCATAGCTACTGATGGGGATTCAAACTGACCTGTGTGGGGGAGTCTGGGTCAGAGAAGGGTGCGAAGGTCCAGATGATGTTGAGTCTGGACAGGGGACTCATGGTGAAGAAGGAGCAGGGCAGGGTCACCGAGTCTCCGTGAACCACCTGCAGACTGGTGTCTCTCAGGGTCACCGAGTCTCCGTGAACCACCTGCAGACTGGTCTCTCTCAGGGTCACCGAGTCTCCGTGAACCACCTCCAGACTGGTCTCTCTCAGGGTCACCGAGTCTCCGTGAACCACCTCCAGACTGGTCTCTCTCAGGGTCACCGAGTCTCCGTGAACCACCTCCAGACTGGTGTCTCTCAGGGTCACCGAGTCTCCGTGAACCACCTCCAGACTGGTGTCTCTCAGGGTCACCGAGTCTCCGCGAATCACCTCCAGACTGGTGTCTCTCAGGGTCTCCGTGATTCACCTCCAGACTGGTGTCTCTCAGGGTCACCGAGTCTCCGTGAATCACCTCCAGACTGGTCTCTCTCAGGGTCACCGAGTCTCCGTGAACCACCTCCAGACTGGTGTCTCTCAGGGTCACCGAGTCTCCGTGATTCACCTCCAGACTGGTGTCTCTCAGGGTCACCCTCACTGCACCTGCACAGTGGATGAGCATAAAGCAACAACTCCTATCAGTGGGCCAATCAGGCACATTCCTTTACTCAAATTCCTGTCACATGTGAGATATCCTATGGTTAATACAAGGTAACACATTGGCATGAATGAGACACTGCAGCACTGGGTTTTGTTGTGTAGCAATTCAATAAAAACACAAAAAACGATGACACAACAAATAACATTTCTCGTGTTTCTTTCAAAAATGCTTAAATGGTACAATTGTATGGTACCCTGACCTCGGGTCTAGCAGGCTGTCCCAGCCCGGACCTCCCTCCCCTTCTCTCACTACTGTAATCATGCACCCTCCCCTCACTGAGGCATCCCCAGGCCCTTTGTATGTGTGGGAAACTAGCGTGGATACTGGGTGCTAATTACTGTTGATAGCTTAAACCAAGCAGCCAAACACAGCTCATCACTGAGAGATGTGGGTAAAACAATAGAGCCATATTCACCATGCAGTGAAAACCCACAAATAATCCAATTTAAATATTTGGATTTGTCTTTAAAACAAACTCTGCCATATCGAATGCCTGCCATCCTCAGAATCAGGCTATAACTTATATTTCAGTTATGATTATTATATTATTTTTCATATTTATTTTCATTTTATTTTTATAACAAGGGGTTAGTGCTTGTCATTTAGATACTATTTAGTTAAACTTTTTTTTTTAAATTTATGAGCACTGTAATTTATTTTTGGGGGGCTATGTCTTTACATAATGAGAGCAGCAGAAGTCAGAAGCCAGGTGTAGGCCTCACAGCACAGCACTGCCAGGGCACAGCGGCAAAAACACAACTACAGGTGTAACTGTATCATAAGACCATGGGGGGAGCTCAGCTCACAGAAGAATACTGTGCTGAACAATACTCGGCCCTCCTTTTGTGTGACTTAGGATGGAGATGAGCGTGCATAGTGCTGAGTATCAATCTGAGCTGGCAGACATGATGGAGGAAGTAAACCGCAGACCACTGCTGCTCCCGCGCCACTGGCAAGTCTGAGTTCCGCATTGAGTAGCAACTCTGCTGATATCCCTCCTTACCAGTATACACTATTCAGCCAGAGTGAAGGCCATCTAAAGGCAGGTGCCTACAACTGCACATTGTCAGTGCCCAGTCTCAGGAAGTGGAGATAACATCAAAGGGTAATTGTGTTGTGTGTCCTGTCTCAGGCCCGGAGGGAGGCAGAGCAGCGTTTCTCCCTAATCCTGGAGCAGGCTGGGCTGGACGAGGTTCTGCTGTGGAGCAAGGCTATGCTCCAGGAACAGGGCCAGGACTTACACCTAGAGGAGGAGACACAGGAGGCCTGGGAGGATACTGATCACTATGAGGAACCTGACATAGCCTAGACATATAGGCATAACTCTATGGGAGGAACCCTGACTAAGACAACATGGTTTGACTACTGTATCAAATGATACAAGTGTTTGATCACGTTCAAATGCTATGTTGCATCTCTCTACCATCCTATATCAGTGCATGCTTTGAGAAGTTACGCTGTCGATACTCATTTAACTGTCCTCTCGTCAGGACAAGCATGAAACGGCTCCTTGGACAAGAGCTCATGGAGTTTGACATTAGGTACCATATTTACTGCCCTGCTGCCTGCATTAGCTAACAGACGGAAGAGAGACAAAGGAAAAACATTCTTTGTCTTTATTCAAAAGTTGTTCCTTTTTATTTTTCTAACCATCGGAATGAATGAAATACATGATGTCTGTCATAGACCCCAGACAAAGGCTGAATTATTGTGTATAAAAGGCATTTAAATGATCATGAAATGCAAAAACAATACAGTAAAAAGGAATATAATAAATAAGTATAAAAAAATATATATACCTTATATATAGATATACTGTATATACACTGAACAAAAATATAAACGCAACATGTAAAGTGTTGGTCCCATGTTTCATGAGCTGAAATAAAAGATCCCAGAAATGTTCCATACATACAAAAAGCATATTTCTCTCTAAATTTGTGCACATATATTTGTTTACATCACTGTTATGGATAATTTCTCCTTTACCAAGATCACCCATCCACCTGATAGGTGTGGCATATCAAGAAGCTGATTAAACAGCGTGATCATTACACAGGTGCACCTTGTGCTGGGGACAATAAAAGGTCACAATACAATGACACAGATGTCTCAAGTTTTGAGGGGAGCCTGCAATTGTCATGCTGGCTGCAGGAATGTCCACCAGAGCTGTTGCCAACGAATTGAATGTTCATTTCTCTCCAACGTCGTTTGAGAATTTGGCAGTACGTCCATCGGCCTCACAACCACAGACCATGTGTAACCACACCAGCCCAGGACCTCCACATCCGGCTTCTTCACCTAAGGGATTGTCCAAGACCAGCCACCCGAACAGCTGATGAAACTGTCGGTTTGCACGACCGAAGAATTTCTGCACAAACTGTCAGAAACTGTCTCAGTGAAACTCATCTGGTGCTCGTCGTCCTGACTGCAGTTCGGCGTCATAACCGACGTCAGTAGGCAAATGATCACCTTCGATGGCTACTGGCAGGCTGGAGAAGTGTGCTATTCACGTATGAATCCCAGTTTCAACTGTACCGGGCAGATGGCAGACAGCGTAGCGTGTACGACGTCGTGTGGGCGAGCGGTTTGCTGATATCAACGTTGTGAACAGAGTGCCCCATGGTGGCGGTGGGGTTATGGTATAGACAGGCATAAGCTACGGACAACAAACAATTGCATTTTATTGATGGCCATTTGAATGCACAGAGATACCGTGATGAGATCCTGAGGTCCATTGTTGTGCCATTCATCTGCCGGCATCACCTCATGTTTCAGCATGATAATGCACAGCCCCATGTCAAAAGGATCTGTACACAGTTCCTGCAAGCTGAAAATGTTCCAGTTCTTCCATGGCCTGCATACTCACCAGACATGTCCCCCTAAGAGCATGCTTGGGATGCTCTGGGTCGATGTGTACATCAGTGTGTTCCAGTTCCCGCCAATATCCAGCAACTTCTCACATTGAAGAGGAGTGGGACAACATTCCACAGGCCACAATCAACAGCCTGATAAACTCTATGCAAAGGAGATGTGTCGAGCTGCACGAAGCAAATGTGGTCACACCAGATACTGACTGGTTTTCTGATCCACGCCCCTACTTTTTTTTGTAAGGAATCTGTGACCAACAGATGCATATATGTATTCCCAGTCATATGAAATCCATAGATTAGAGCCTAATGATTTTATTTCAGTTGACTGAACTGTAACTCAGTACAATCTTAGAAATTGTTGCACGTTGTGTTGATATTTCTGTTCAGTGTAGATCAGTGTACAATAACCTTTCTTCATTTTAAATATCCATATACTTTGCATTGGCATTAAGGAAGATGTGTCTAATCTAGTTCCCTTCAGTGAGTAAATCATAAATATTCATAATACATTTTTGAGTATTGTGACAGTCAGACTTGGTTTGGTTGGAGGTTTTGAAGGTGTGAGGAGCCTCTAGAGCAGGTTCCGCAGGAGGAAAGAAAGAGCTGCCCCCTAGAGACAGACCCAGAGCCAAGAAGAAGGTCATCAAGACCCCTGCTGTCTCACAGTCTTTAGCCCTCACCAACCTGCGGAAGAGAACAGGTCAGATACATTTTAACATTTACATTTGAGTCATTTAGCAGACGCTCTTATCCAGAGCGACATACAGTTAGTGAGTGCATACATTATTTTTTTTTCATACTGGCCCCCCGTGGGAATCCCTCCACTACCCTGGACGACGCTGGGCCAATTGTGTGCCGCCTCATGGGTCTCCCGGTCGCGGCCGGCTACGACAGAGCCTGGATACGAACCAGGATCTCTAGTGGCACAGCTAGCACTGTGATGCAGTGCCTTAGACCACTGCGCCACTCAGGAGTATGATACTGTGGAACAAACTGCCCAAATTGTCACTACAACGTAATAACAAGTTACATTGAATTAAACAAAAACAGTTAAGGGAAAAATTTGACAAAACTGTTGAATAAATTCAGGTAGATTTGGTGACTCACTGAGGTGACATGCAGAGACAGACGAAGTATCCATTGGACAGGGCGAATAATGTCATGATGACAACAAAGGCAACGTCATGGGAGAACAGGACAGGCAGGTACTGGCGGTTGTCAGTTTTGCACAGCATGATGAGAGGGATGAAGATCACACGGGACACCACGAGCACAGGGAACAGACCGCTTCTCTTTGAGGGCTGTGGACGGATAAAGACAAACAGAGACAGACACCGTTAGGCAGAGAAACATGTTTGAGGTATTGGAGCAGCTATTTATTGCAGTAACTGGTAGTAAAGGAGGGGGACAAAGGGCAGACGTCACTCACCCACTGAACCATAGAGGTGACACTGCGGCCAATCAGGTCCATGACGTTAAAGACGATGAAGCAGCAGACACAGAGAAAGTATCGGTCTGAAAGACAGATATACAGGTGTAATGCACTTTGTTCGGCTGCCAATCGGCTCCGCCTCGTATTTACAACTGCAGCACAGCCATGCTAAAAAAGTTAAATCCCACGCCCTATCTGCTTTATTCAACCACAACTGTCTTAACTGGACATAACTAGGCTATTATGTATTATTATCCCAAATGTTTGCTCACCCCACTCCTTGTTTACATACACACTCTTCACTTTTACTGTGACAGCAGGGAAAACTGACAGTGTGACAGCCAGCACACACGTCACACAGAGGGCCATCTGCCAAATCTGTACAACAGTATCAAACAAAGTGTTAGAAAATAATAGTATTTGAATTGAGATTTGAATGACAGTTGGATACAGGACAAGGTACCTTTTTGAAGACTGCCAAGACAGATGCGCCATCATGAACAGGGCTTCTTTGGTCCCACTGGCATCAAGATCACCATTGGTTATTATGGGTTTATTGTTGAAGCCATTCAGGTCGCCATTGACCAACGCTATTTTTTCTTTGTCTTTCAGAGGAAGTGAGAAAATAGTCAGTACTTATAGTTTTAGGCCTTTTAGTTTAGAAAACATACTGTAACTATACTTAGTATTAAATCACTTCACATAACACTTCATGTCCCCTGTAGCTCAGTTGGTAGAGCATGGCGCTTGCAACGCCAGGGTTGTGGGTTCGTTTCCCATGGGGGGGCAGTATGAAAATGTATGCATTCACTAACTGTAAGTCGCTCTGGATAAGAGCGTCTGCTAAATAACTAAAATGTAAATGTAAATGAATTAACTATGAATAGCTCCTCTATATGGTATTTGTTAATTGTTTTTTTGTGGGGGATTTTTACCCCTTTTCGTGATATCCAATTGGTAGTTACAGTCTTGTCCAATCGCTGCAACTCCTGTACGGACTCGGGAGAGGCGAAGGTCGAGAGCCATGCGTCCTACGAAACAAGACGCACTGCCCGCTTAACCCGGAAGCCAGCCGCACCAATGTGTCGGAGGAAACACTGTACAGCTCCATAAGGAGTCGCTAGAGTGCGATGGGACAAGGACATCCCAACCGGCCAAACCCTCCCCTAACCCGGACGAGATCGAACCCGGATCTCTAGTGACGCCTCTAGCACTGCGATGCAGTGCCTTAGACCGCTGCTCCACTCAGGAGGCCCCGTTAATAGTTTTAAATGTTGACATTTTAGTCCATGTGTCAAACTTATTCCACGAAGGGCCGAGTGTCTGCAGGTTTTCGCTGCACCTTTGTACTTGATTGATTAATTAAGGTCACTGATTAGTAACGAACTCCCCTCACCTGGTTGTCTAGGGCTTAATTGAAAGGAAAAACCGAAAACCCGCAGACACGTGGAATGAGTTTGACACCCCTATTTTAGCCATTTAGCAGACGCTCTTATCCAGAGTGACTTACAGTTAGTGCATTCATCTTAAGATCGCTAGGTGAGACAACCATATATCACAGTTGTAGTAAGTACATTTTTCCTCTAAGGTAGTTATCAGCAAAGCCGGTGCTTTTTTTCGTGAGGCGGGGATAAGACTGATATGTATTATGTCTTATCTTGTACAGTGAGGGGGAAAAAGTATTTGATCCCCTGCTGATTTTGTACGTTTGCCCACTGACAAAGACATGATCAGTCTATAATTTTAATGGTAGGTTTATTTGAACAGTGAGAGACAGAATAACAACAAAAAAATCCAGAAAAACGCATGTCAAAAATGTTATAAATTGATTTGCATTTTAATGAGGGAAATAAGTATTTGACCCCTCTGCAAAACATGACTTAGTACTTGGTGGCAAAACTCTTGTTGGCAATCACAGAGGTCAGACGTTTCTTGTAGTTGGCCACCAGGTTTGCACACATCTCAGGAGGGATTTTGTTCCACTCCTCTTTGCAGATCTTCTCCAAGTCATTAAGGTTTCGAGGCTGACGTTTGGCAACTCGAACCTTCAGCTCCCTCCACAGATTTTCTATGGGATTAAGGTCTGGAGACTGGCTAGGCCACTCCAGGACCTTAATGTGCTTCTTCTTGAGCCACTCCTTTGTTGCCTTTGCCGTGTGTTTTGGGTCATTGTCATGCTGGAATACCCATCCACGACCCATTTTCAATGCCCTGGCTGAGGGAAGGAGGTTCTCACCCAAGATTTGACGGTACATGGCCCCGTCCATCGTCCCTTTGATGCGGTGAAGTTGTCCTGTCCCCTTAGCAGAAAAACACCCCCAAAGCATAATGTTTCCACCTCCATGTTTGACGGTGGGGATGGTGTTCTTGGGGTCATAGGCAGCATTCCTCCTCCAAACACGGCGAGTTGAGTTGATGCCAAAGAGCTCGATTTTGGTCTCATCTGACCACAACACTTTCACCCAGTTCTCCTCTGAATGATTCAGATGTTCATTGGCAAACTTCAGACGGGCCTGTATATGTGCTTTCTTGAGCAGGGGGACCTTGCGGGCGCTGCAGAATTTCAGTCCTTCACGGCGTAGTGTGTTACCAATTGTTTTCTTGGTGACTATGGTCCCAGCTGCCTTGAGATCATTGACAAGATCGTCCCGTGTAGTTCTGGGCTGATTCCTCACCGTTCTCATGATCATTGCAACTCCATGAGGTGAGACTTGCATGGAGCCCCAGGGTGAGGGAGATTGACAGGTCTTTTGTGTTTCTTCCATTTGCGAATAATCGCACCAACTGTTGTCACCTTCTCACCAAGCTGCTTGGCGATGGTCTTGTAGCCCATTCCAGCCTTGTGTAGGTCTACAATCTTGTCCCTGACATCCTTGGAGAGCTCTTTGGTCTTGGCCATGGTGGAGAGTTTGGAATCTGATTGATTGATTGCTTCTGTGGACAGGTGTCTTTTATACAAGCTGATATTAGGAGCACTCCCTTTAAGACTGTGCACCTGTATAAAATACACCTGGGAGCCAGAAATCTTTTTGATTGAGAGGGGGTCAAATACTTATTTCCCTCATTAAAATGCAAATCAATTTCTAACATTTTTGACATGCGTTTTTCTGGATTTTGTTGTTATTCTGTCTCTCACTGTTAAAAAATTATGTCTCTCACCTACCATTAAAATTATAGACTGATCATTTCTTTGTCAGTGGGCAAACTTACAAAATCAGCAGGGGATCAAATACTTTTTTCCCTCACTGTAGATCCTCTTAGTTGACGGATGGAAGAGAGTGTTCCAAACCTACCGGCTCCCTTGAGAAGCTCGTCTGTGGTCTCAGGTTGGTCATGTTGAAACTTACTTTTCTCAAAGTAAAACCGGGCAAACCCCCAGAACAAAACATAACATCTTATGAGTACATTCCTCTGTAATATCCTAAGCAATAGTAGATGAACTGGCTGTTGTCCTCCTGTCATGCCACTGCTGTAGCCACTCACCAGGTGTGGCAGTAGTAAGTAGCTAAGCAGGGTGAGCAGTGTTGCCACACAGGGGGTTATGAAGTACCCAAGAGCAGCACTGGCCTTGTCTGCTTTACCTACACAGAGTGGAAGAGAGAAACTCAGTATTAATCAGGATGAAAACACAATTTACGTAATAACAGGGTAAAATCTATCCTGGCAGGCACAGCTGAGATATTTCTTGCCAAACAGGATGTGGTGAGCAGTTTATTAGGTTGAGTGAAGATGAAGCACAACACATGTTTACTACAGTTTGAAACTGCCCTTCCTGTTATGATGAAAAGTAAGGCATTTTTGAATAACATTATGAGCAAATACCATAAAATACCTGTTTTAGGGAGACTATTACTGTATAAAGGAGGGCATGTTGATTGAATGTGCGTGTGTGTATCATTGTGTTCACTGCTACTGTGCATAGTGAGGTGGTAGTACTCACTGAGGATAGAGAACAGACTAGCCAGGGCAGCAAAGATCCCTGCCAATCCCTGACCACTCATAAACAATGTGCTGTACCTCGGGGGGAGCAGACCCACCAGCCCAAACAGACTGCCCTGGAGCACTGCCCCAAAAGCTAGAGAGAGAGGGGATGTGTGAGAAATGGGTGTATTTACACATGAAATCTCCTCAGAACACATTTTCATCAGGCAAACAGTCAAAACAATGATGCTACTACTTATATGATTACTAATTACATTATATGCAACCGGACCCACAGACATGAAGACGGTCGGGAACCAACTCACAGTTGATGAACCAGATAGTTACCATGGTGATAGAGAAGCAGCTGTGGGGCTGCATGGGCACCTTGACCATGATGGCAGTGAGGAGGAAGAGGAAGAGGATGGAGACCATATTGACAGCAATCCGGACCTTCTCTTTGATACTACCGCCACACAGGAAAAATACGGTTGAGATAGACCACTATACTATACTATACCTCCCATTCAAACCCTGTAGTACGTTGCTCACCGTTGATACAGGAAGGAGTTGGCCAGGGTGAACAGGGGCAGCTGGGCTAGAAGAGTCATCCAGCTGGCAAAATTGTAGTCTTTAGTAAGTGGGGTCGTTCCATTACTTGACGTGGTCCCTTTGAGTCGGTCGTCAAAATACTTCAGCAGAAAACAATGGGAGAACAGAGGTGACATTAGCTCAAGCCCTCTACTCTCATCACAGAGCAAACTAATATTAGACCGTATTGCCTGAATGTGTTATATTCATCAATTTTTGTTGTGAGTCTGTGTGACAGGTTGTGATGAGGTAGAGAAGCTGTGGTACCTCCGTGTCAGTGATGCTGTGTGGGTGGGTGGGTGTGACAGAGAAGTTGTGGTACCTCTGTGGCGATGATGAAGCTCCATGGCAGCAGTGTCCCCAGTCCCAGGATGAAGATGATGACGGCCACAGCACAGCCTATGTTGGGGGATAGAGGACATCACTCACATGCCACATCACAACCCCTCCTACAACACACTCACTCCCTAGTGGTGCTTAATGTAATGAATCCCAAAGAAACACGTCATTCCTAGGTTATTATTACTGAGTAATTACCAATATACCATGTAATGTATTCTCTGATCCCCATCCAGTGCTCAGATGAGAGGGAAACTGAGTGAGGAAGTTTGTGAAAGCTGCTTCATACAGGTTTATGTCTCAGATGATCCAACCAATGAAAAGTGAGTAACTCACCGGTCCACTGGGGCACTCTTCTGGGTAGTCATCCTGATACTCTTGGGTCTGTATATAAACAAGGGACAGAGGATAGCTTCAGATAGTGTCACTCCTTGAAATACTGTTGTGTTGAAAATATCCGCAATCATGCTTGCCAGGCTGCTGGGGATTCAAGATGTTTTACTTCATCCATGTTGATCATTGACATAAACTAAAAATCCCCTCTACTAAACATGGTGACAATTATGATCTGATTTTCCACCTGATTTTATTATAATCCTATTTTAATTTCACGAAGGTTAGATATCAGCCATCTTGTCACATCTGAAATCAAGTCATATTTTTGCGCTTGGTGATTTCAGCCTGTCACATGTTCCAAGTCTACAACTTAAAAGGAGCTGAGCATCGCCAGACCCTCACACCATCATTTGTAGGCTACAACGTAATTAATGATCTTGTCTTCTGCCATGTTCAGAAGCCAGTACCTCAGTATAGACAAGGCTATGTCTCGAATGAGCCAGATGGTGAAAGTCGGTTACCACATGGCTTCTAAAACTGACACTATGTATTCAGTGACGAACTTAGAGAGTGTATGGGTATTTTTGTACTGGATGTTAGACTTATACAACATTTCAACATGCCTATAAGACTTTTATTAACCAGACATAAAGCATAACATTTTCCATTACTTCGGCCAATATACTATTGGCATTAACATCGGGTTACAGTCTGTAGCATCAATTATAACGCGCTACATCTAAACAGAAATTAGATCATTCCCGATGTACTAAACCATGGGGTACTCATACCTGTCGACTCACACTCACCTGCCTTATGTTTCAAATATAAATTCTAGTTGATCTTCTTCAGCCTATATACATTGAGGGAAAAAAGTATTTGATCCCCTGCTGATTTTGTACGTTTGCCCACTGACAAAGAAATGATCAGTCTATAATTTTAATGGTAGGTTTATTTGAACAGTGAGAGACAGAATAACAACAAAAAAATCCAGAAAAACGCATGTCAAAAATGTTATAAATTGATTTGCAATTTAATGAGGTAAATAAGTATTTGACCCCTCTGCAAAACATGACTTAGTACTTGGTGGCAAAACCCTTGTTGGCAATCACAGAGGTCAGACGTTTCTTGTAGTTGGCCACCAGGTTTGCACACATCTCAGGAGGGATTTTGTCCCACTCCTCTTTGCAGATCTTCTCCAAGTCATTAAGGTTTCGAGGCTGACATTTGGCAACTTGAACCTTCAGCTCCCTCCACAGATTTTCTATGGGATTAAGGTCTGGAGACTGGCTAGGCCACTCCATGACCTTAATGTGCTTCTTCAAGAGCCACTCCTTTGTTGCCTTGGCCGTGTGTTTTGGGTCATTGTCATGCTGGAATACCCACATACGACCCATTTTCAATGCCCTGGCTGAGGGAAGGAGGTTCTCACCCAAGATTTGACGGTACATGGCCCCGTCCATCGTCCCTTTGATGCAGTGAAGTTGTCCTGTCTCTTTAGCAGAAAAACACCCCCAAAGCATAATGTTTCCACCTCCATGTTTGACGGTGGGGATGGTGTTCTTGGGGTCATAGGCAGCATTCCTCCTCCTCCAAACACGGCGAGTTGAGTTGATGCCAAAGAGCTCGATTTTGGTTCTCATCTGAACACAACACTTTCACCCAGTTCTCCTCTGAATCATTCAGATGTTCATTGGCAAACTTCAGACGGGCATGTATATCTGCTTTCTTGAGCAGGGGGACCTTGCGGGCGCTGCAGGATTTCAGTCCTTCACGGCGTAGTGTGTTACTAATTGTTTTCTTGGTGACTATGGTCCCAGCTGCCTTGAGATCATTGAAAAGATCCTCCCGTGTAGTTCTGGGCTGATTCCTCACCGTTCTCATGATCATTGCAACTCCACGAGGTGAGATCTTGCATGGAGACCCAGGCCGAGGGAGATTGACAGGTCTTTTGTGTTTCTTCCATTTGCGAATAATCGCACCAACTGTTGTCACCTTCTCACCAACCTGCTTGGCGATGGTCTTGTAGCCCATTCCAGCCTTGTGTAGGTCTACAATCTTGTCCCTGACATCCTTGGAGAGCTCTTTGGTCTTGGCCATGGTGGAGCGTTTGGAATCTGATTGATTGATTGCTTCTGTGGACAGGTGTCTTTTATACAGGTAACAAACTGAGATTAGGAGCACTCCCTTTAAAAGTGTGCTCCTAATCTCAGCTCGTTACCTGTATAAAAGACACCTGGGAGCCAGAAATCTGTCTGATTGAGAGGGGGTCAAATACTAATTTCCCTCATTAAAATGTAAATCAAGTGATAACATTTTTGACATGCGTTTTTCTGGATTTTTTTGTTATTCTGTCTCACTGTTCAAATAAACCTACCATTAAAATTATAGACTGATCATTTCTTTGTCAGTGGGCAAACATACAAAATCAGCAGGGGATCAAATACTTTTTTCCCTCACTGTGTGTGTATATATATATATATATATATATATATATATATATATATATATATATATATATATATATATATATACACACACACACATTTGTGTATTTCTAAATCCTTGGTATTCGGACCAGTGTCTCTGATCTTAGAACAAACACCACGTTGAGGTTCTGAGGCTTTGAACACACCGACTCTGCTTTGCGTTTTGGTACACCAGAAGGTCATTAATTTCCAATGGAACGCTGCGTTTGCCTTGCAGCATTACGTTGCAGAGGAGAGGCAGTTGCAGTGCGGTCTGTGTGGTGCATATGTTGGATTTATCGAACATATGCGTCAAACTTAATGCGTAAACGGGTTGACATAAATGGTAGCAGAAGGTGAATGTTGAACTTTTGTTGCACATATATCTAGATGATGCTGCATACTATTTTGCGCAATGACGCAGTCAGTGTGTTCAAATCGTGACATATTAACACGTGCAAGAAAGTAGCCAGTTGCTACACTTGAGCGATGGCGCTCTTTGCACAGACCCATTGAACGATGTTTGGTTTGGTTGCATTGTATGGCGGCAAATTCATGTAGCCTATTCATTTGGATTATTCTATCAGTTTAAACATGTAACAAATTCGACAATACAGCTAGGCAATTGAAATATAGCCTATATTTTTTTTATTCAAGCAACAGGGCAACAGCTGAAGAGACGGTCATAGAATAAGTGCCCTGAAGCGAGATGATTAAATTAGCCTAATAAACTAATTCTTATTCATTTCTGACTCACAAGAAGCTATTTGAAATTGTGGTGTCGAGAAAACGATGCTAATTATGCTGTGAGAACAAGGAAATCCGCTGACACTGTACTTTGATTATAAAGGTTTATTATATCAAAGGATTCCAGCGTAAGTTTACAGATATCTGCAGACATCTGGAGAATAACCTGACCCAAACTCCAAATATGTTATTCTCCCCGTCCTTTGTTTTAACCCATAGTATATATCCTATGTAACCTGATATGGGTGTTTTCCCCTACAGACCAATCCCAGGACTCCACCTAACAGACTTCCTCTGCTTTAGGGTGCCCCTTATAGAACTACTCTCCAGATGCTCCCAGTCAACATCCTCTAAAACCATTTGCAACCATTAGCAAAGTCATAAATTCCTTAGACACCACATATTTCCCCCCTTCGAGACTAACTAAGTCTCGAAAACAAAAATAATAGGTTTATGACAAATAAAAAAAAATCTATTATTGAGTAACTTTAACAATAAACCAAATTTTATGGAGAGTAAACACCTTTTTCTATGAAATATGAACAAATCTTTATGGAGTGTGAGAGCGAAAAACCTGTCTGGCAGCTTTCTTTCCAAATATCCCTCAATCAATCAAGACAGTAAAATTCTCTCACGGCCCCTCTGCCCCAGGCAACCACCTAAGTACTCCAGATAAATTCATAAATCTTTATCAATGCATTTTAAACTATGATGCAATTTGAATACACATGAAAGCCTCAGCAAACAAAATACAATCAAATTTGTCCACATTCAGGCTGGTCAACCCATCGGACCCTCCTGTGGATTCTCTCTATCCCTGCCTAGACCCAATATCCCTAAGCATCCACGAAATAAACAAAAACATCTGAGATCCCCACATGTACCCAATAACAGCAAATATCATTCTTCAAAAATGAATACAGAAAGAATATGACACAAATTATGTATTACACATGCAAATATGTCTATATATCATTGCAGACACTGGAATGTAGTCCACTACACTTCATCTCCTCAGCAGTGTCGACTTCCAATGCAACGTCGATGATGGAATCTGAACATTTCCACACCTTCCTTGTTCCACTTCCTCCATTCCACTCATATTGTCCCTTCATATTGTCCCCGTTTGAGTATTTGAATCCCCTCTACACATTCCCACATATGCTTCTGGATGAAAAGAAAAGACCAAACAGTATCTTTTGCAAAACAACACATTCAAATTAAAACATCAATATCAACTAAAAATTATATATAAAATTATATATAAAATGAATCACATTCCATTTCCCCCCTTTGATTCATCACAAAATACTAAAATCACCATAATATTTAAAAATGTGAAAAATTCAAAATTGATATCTATCCATCAATACTCCTTTGAGTCTTATCGTTTCATTTGCAAAACCCTTCAAATGATAGGTAATATTATCTATTTGATCTTCCAAAAATGTTACACCATACCATGGAAAAAGTCCCCACTTCTCTCCTAGACTTATCCTCCAATGGT